GAGGAGGAGCTTTTTTTTTTTTTTTTTTTCCTCATTGATTCTGAATAATTGTATTCAAGAATGTTTATCTATTGAGTAGTGCATCACTTCCTATCTATTAGGTATCTCGTCACTTATAAATCGGAATCGTCATATGCGACTTATAAATCGGAATCGTCATATGCGACTTATAAATCGAAATCTATACACTAAATGCGACGCATAAATCAGAATCTTTAAATACTTCTTACAAATCGCAATACTCAAATACGACTTATATGTTTTTCTTTTCTTTTATGCTGTTATCTACTAGTCAAGTTTGGATTTGTAAAGTTGGAAAAGAATACATGGAGATTCTATTGATTTTTTTTCCTATGGAAAAAAAGGATGAACTTTTAAAAAAAAAAATTTCTTTTGGTTATTTCTGTGCTCTTACCTTTAACTTTGCTATCAAGTTTTGCTTTTCTTCTTGGTTTTGTCTCTGGGATTCTGCATAACTATAATCAAGAATGTTTCTACTGAAAATCTATTGACTAATGCATCACATGCCTATTTTTATTACGTAAGTATTTACTTTTTATGGATTAGACTCCGGAGAGATTGATAAGAGAATAAATGTTAGCACTTAGCAATATACTTTTTGCTATAAACGTGCACTTTTGACCTTTATTTTGACGAAAATGGGAATAGTTCACTTTAAAATTTAGGTTGAAGCAAATAATTTGCCTGTGGCAAGGTGAAATTTAGCTATTTTGATAGGTTGTATAATGGTGCTTGTACGGTCACTTGAATTTTGTTTTGGTTATAGGACCTGCTAGGTGTTATCGTCAAATAAAGGGAAAGCCCTATCCAAAATCGCGGTATTGGCACACCAAGCCCTATCCAAAATCGCGGTATTGTCGTGGTGTGCCTGATCCTAAGATCAGGATTTACGACGTTGGTACGAAGAAAAAGGGGGTCGATGAGTTTCCGTGTTGTGTTCATTTGGTTAGTTGGGAGAAAGAAAATGTGTCTAGTGAGGCATTGGAAGCTGCGCGTATAGCGTGCAATAAGTACATGTCAAAGAATGCAGGAAAGGATGCTTTTCACCTTAGGGTCAGAGCTCATCCTCGACAAGGTGAATTGCTCTGATGGTAAGCACTCTCCACTTCCAACCAAGAGGTTGTGAGTTCGGGTCATCCCAAGAGCAAGGTGGGGAGTTCTTGGAGGGAAGGATGACGAGGGTCGTCATTTGGAAACAGCCTCTCTACCCCAGGGTAAGGGTAAGGTTTGCGTACACACTACTATATGAGGGGAGCATTTGGAAAGCCTCTTGGGACTTGTGCGCGCATTTCTATTGGCCAGGTTCTGCTTTCTGTTAGGTGCAGGGATTCAAACAGTCATCACGCTCAAGAAGCTTTGCGTCGTGCAAAGTTCAAGTTTCTTGGTCGTCAGAAAATTATTGTTAGCAGTAAATGGTATTGCTTTATATGTTTCTGATCTTTCTTATATTGTTGCCTATGGTTGTCTAATTGAACATGCTCTCAAAGTCTCACTTATATGTTTCATAAACAATTGTTAGCTTTTTGGTAGTTTTGCTTATTCGATTGGCTGCTTTTTAGTATCGATTTCATACTATCTATATATATGATTTTTAACTCCGTTTAGGCTGTGTTCCTTATGATGTACTCGTGGATAGTGGCGGATGCAGGATTTTCGCTAAGGGGTTAAAGAAATCTTATAAAAAAGATTGTAGCTAGTTGGAATTGAACCAATGACCTTGCAAAGGTTTTGAACTGTGTCAAGGGGATTCAAAACATAATATATAGAGGTAAAAAATAGATTTTGCCTTATATATACGGTCTAAGTTTTTGGCTTCCCTGCTCGTGGAACAACTATAGTTACTCGTAGAATAGCTATTGGCATTCAATATCTAATCATGGCTTTCGCAGGTAATTATCTTAGTAGCTATATTTCATGCTTTTCTTAGTCTTCTCACTTCTGCCACAATTGCAACAGCATCGTCTGTGTAAAGTATCAATTTTTTCCAATTTGAAGCTTTGCATTAAGGACTCCGCGAAGACACAGAATTATGAAAAATCTAGGCACTCTTCGCCTTTTTAGTATGTATTCTTATTGATATGGTGCTTATATTAACACACATTCTCTTGGATTTCATGGGGTTCACACCTTTCAAACGTACCGATTACCTGAAATGGAAAGCCGAGAACAGGATCGTGCCGGATGGTGTCAATGCTAAGGTTCGACGTTCAGTTCTCTTGTTCCTATACAGAACTTTAAACCAGCATCTCAAGTTAGATTTTCTAAAGACTTAATTAACATGAAATAATTATATCGTTAAGGCAGAATTATTATGTACATCTACGACTAGCTAGCTATGTTATCATCATATTCTATCTGGTATTTTAACATGGGGCTGTTTGAAACTTATCATGATTCATGTGATATGTTGAGACGAGGGGTACTATGTATATCATGTCTTATGTAGTAGCTAGGTAGTTTACTTCTGTAGAAACTATAGCATGTTAAAATAGAGTAGTTTAAGGAGGGTTTCTGCAGCTTAGGGGCGTTTCTTAGAGGGATATTGTGGTGGTTTCTGTATATTCGTGTTAATTATACAGCAGCTATTAGTAGTGTAATATCTCGAGTTATAATATATGGAAGCATGAGTTATGGCTATATTATTTTTTCTCAAGTCATAAATTTTTTTATTTGAGTCTGGTGTCCCTTGACAGAAATCTGTAGATGATTGTTTTTTCCTTTACATATTGCACAAGTTTTTACTTTTTGTTGCATAATTGAAGTTAATCAATATGCGATGCTGGAAATGAAGAAATCCTTACAATTCAGAGTTGGTTAGTGTCAAGTATAGTCTCATCATAATTCTAATCTCTGAATATAACTACAAAACTACAGATACTAAGCTCTAGTCTTGTAAAATGCTTCTTTTCCCCACTAGCAGAAGCAGATGGAATCACCTTCAACACATTGAATTTCACAGTTTTTGCCAGAAGCCTGTCACAAAGCCAAAATATGTTAATAACAAATTACAAAATTGGAAGTAATTTAAAGTTAAAAAGAAAGAAAATAATAACACAAGTTTTGATTTTAACCTGCAGTGTCCAATAGCGACGTGATCTCCTTTCACACAGATGTGTGGTGATATGTGAACTAGTACATTTGAATGCCTCTTCTCTAATCTACAATATTTCAGGTCAAAAAAATTCTTGACAATATAAGCAGCTAATAAGATGTCATGCTTCAAAAACAATATGGTTTCTGTGTTTTGTTGTATCGGGAGACAACATAGATGGAACAGTAAGGAAGAGGAGGAAAGGCAGATAAACCTTGAATGCAAAGGCCACAAATGGCAGATAACTGATAACTAAATACTGGAAAAAAAAGGGCAGCCCAGTGCACTAAGCTCCCGCTATGCGCGGGGTCTGGGGAAAGGCCGGACCAACAAGGGTCTACTGTAAGCAGCCTTACCATGCATTTCTGCAAGAGATTGTTTTCACGGCTTGAACCCGTGACCTCCTGGTCACATGGCAGCAACTTTACCAGTTACACCAAGGCTCCCACCTTCAACTAAATACTGAAAAGCCTGAATCAAATCCTTGCACCAATGCAGTTCATATGAACAAAAAATGATACTACAAAAACAAGTTTCCTTCGAGGCGTTGAAAATTCATCAAATGGGGTTGAGTGGTTTCGGAATGGATGGATATATTCAAAGACTTGGTGAATTTCCTACACTTCCTATCGATCCTACTCCGATTAATATGTTTGGTGAGATGCCCCTTTGCTAGAAGAAGAATTTTCTTAGATTGGCGGCTTCTCTGCAAATTTCACTTTATATTTAAAAATGTAGAGCCCTAATACTTTATTATAAAAGGAGGATGTCCAACCAAACACTCAGATTTCTACCGACAATAAGAAGTCAAAATTCTAGGTCTAGGTGAAACTAAACAATCAACAAGTGGTAGTTATGCTGGGTATCTCAATATAGAAAATCCACCTTTAGCAATTAAATCACCTTGATATGGCTAAGGTAGTCTTCTCCGTGGTCGGAGAGGCAAAGAATGCTAAATTCGAACGAAGATGACTTTTTTCAGGCAACATTCTCTATTTGTTTCGGTAATAATTAGGGCTTTCGGGCCTGTTCTAGCTCTTTGCTGCATACGTTTTCTATTTTTAGGAGTTGATAGAAGGATCGCGCCAGAATGGATCCTGCTTTTATTTTTTTTATTGATATGTTTCACTCTAGCTTATGAAAAAAAACAAAGAACAAGAAGAAAAGGAGTGACAATTTGTAATCCTGAGCTCTACGCTACAGGGCCTAGAAGGCAAGAAGCAGACTGAATAGATTTCAAGATAGCTAGTAAACCATTAAAGAAAGCAGAAGGATTACCATCTAGTTTTGACGTAGATTCACTGGTTTAAAGCTCCTCAAGTCTTCTATACACCTTGTTTAGTAAGTTGCTGCAACTCTCAGGAGATGTGCAAGGCCCACACATGAGATAAATGACATTGCCAAGAGGCCTCATATAGATGCCATCTTCACGGAGCTTCTGAATGAGAGATCTGGCATACAGTGAAGCATACCTGCATGTTTTGAGACACAAATGAGCTTCAGAAGTATCAAACTTGGAAACACGGAATGAAGACTTGGAGATAACAACAACCCAAAATATTGTATGCAAAGATGTTTGAACAGAAATATTAATTGCAAATCAGTGTTAACTTAGTTCAACTTGAAATAGAGATTTTGAAGTTGAAAAACTAGTTTGAGGAGTATTTTAAGTGATGTTTTCACTCAGAAATTCAATTTATTTTAAGTGAATTCAAGTCCAAAGACACTCTCCAAATACTCTTTTGCAACTTCGATTTCAAATACTCGTCTTTTCCTTCAACCAAATGTTGTCCAAATGGGGCATTAATCCTTTGGGTACTTCAGGGTTAAAAGGAAAAGAAGTCCCACGTGTAAGTTTTGCCGGGTATTGTCCCATGAATTACACGTCAAAAAAGCAGTCCACTTGATTGAATTCATAAAACAAGCTTATATATGATTCTTAAGTGGAGCTCTTTATTTTATTTTTTTTGACGAAGCAAAAGTTTCATTGCCTAGCATCAAGTCGATGCAAAAAGACAGTACAAGGATATTACAATTGAGCTCACAAAAAATGAAAATTAGCTCCTTAATTAAGTGGAGCTCTTTGTTACAGCTTTCATATGTTGCACCACTTTAATATGGTATTTAAGGTAAGCATTAAGATTTTCCATGTGTAAACAATCAGTGCATTGTCAATGAGAACTAATACAGAAGTCAGAACAATTAATTTATGAGAAAACAGCATAGACTGCATACCCCGCGTCAGAGCCTTCTGCTCGAAGTTCCAATGCACATAGAGTCCCCAATACAACCACTCTATGCACTGCTGGAAGTAAGGAAATCTGTCTCACCAAGTCTGAATCCCACAGCTGCAAACACCCAAGAAATGATTAAGAGTGGGAGAACAAACAACGTGATCAAAAGCAAGATGTTGGGAATTCATCCTTTATAGCAGGGCCCTTACAATTATTTTACAAGGTTACCTAGTGCTACTGCACTATCTTTCCTCATTTTTTGTTCAAACTTAGTCGGTGGATAATAGTCGAAATTTGGATCAATGTGATGACTGGATACTTTCTAGTATGGGTGTGTGGAAATATCCAGTATGGGGTACATCAGGGCTTTTGCTAAATATTAGTGTGTTTTTATGAAGAATCTGCATGGAGTACCCACACCTTATCAAACCCAGATGAGACAGGTACGTCAAGGTATAGGAAGGATCCGTGTAACATGGCGAAACCTATATGATGATTTTTAAAGTCAATCAAAGTCACACTTGGTGCTATAAAGTATGCTACTAATATTCTGGACTAGTATGCTTTCCCAGCTTTGATGGGCTCCAATTATTTGTGCAAAGAGGTTTTTGTTTATCTAAGAATATTGTGCTGAATAGACAGAAACAAGGATATTTACATGTTTCCCTCAAAACAGCTTAGGAGAGAAGAAAACTGTTATTAGGAAATTTTCATAAGTGAAACTGTTTTAGGGAAAAGCAAGTGAATGAATAATTAATCATCGTTCTATCGATAATGTGCACAATCCCAGTGATTAAAGTACAAGAACATTTATCACTCACTGCATTTTCACATACCTCCCTGAGCAGCACGGCTTCAGATATCAAATTAGGATTTGTTTTGGAGTCCTTAAACCATTTGATTGACTTTACAGCAGCGGTACAACCAACTGCATGTGCAGTGTAAGAGTGACCATGCAAGAGAGCCTGGAGCTGAAGCAAAGGAATGAGGTTACACCACCAATCATATGATATTAGTTATATTTGAGAACTTTAATTGGGCTTAACCACTGATGGTTTTTGCTCATGAAAAGCAAATACTTGACAAGCCTATTAGAACAAAAAGAAATACTTGACATACAGATAGTAAACACTGATGGATATACCTTTGAATCTCCAACAAATGCTTCAAATACAGCTTCTGATGCTAAAGTGACAGCCAAGGGCACAATGCCACCAGTCATCAACTTGGCATAGCAGGCTATATCTGGCTTACAGCAGATAAACTCCGTGGCAGACTGAAAAAGCAAAAGATACAAATTGAAATTCCTTAACGGCTCAACCATGGAAATGATACGTCAAGTAATCTGGTAAGAACCGCAAAGTGATTTAGCAAACAAACCTCTGCTCCCAGACGCCAGAATCCCGTAAAAACTTCATCGAAAATAACAGGAATCTTTTGACTTCTGCATTCTTTAACAAGTACTCTCTGAAATAGTGGATCGACCATTTCCATTCCTCCAGCACCTTGTATCACTGCAAATAATTGCAAGTAAAAGGAATCGTCATAGAAAGTAAAAGAATCATTACGAATAGTGTGGAATAAACTCAATAATTATGTCATTTTTCGATATTCAAGAAAATCATTAAGAATGTCATACACCCATGTTGCTCGAACTAGGGCGCGGGTATCCGATCCGGGTGCGGATCTAGAGGCCGGATACTTCATCACATAATATTTTAGGATTCGAGGGTATGGATCCGAGTGAGGATATGGGTGCTAGGATACAACCAATAAATGTATATTACAACATATAAAGTATATATTTCGATCAATTAAAGTAATTAAACTACAACAAATAAAACTTTATTCTTTATAAACACCAATATTTTATTCAGAAGATATCTCGCGTACTAGAAAAGCATTCTCATACTTTATATAACTATATATATACAATATAAACACAAAAATCAAACCAAATATCCAATCAATCNGTCATAGAACGTTGTCAAAGTACCCAAGGTAAATTGACCAAATCCGGTACGGATCCCACACTCACACCCATGCCGTGCGGCAAGGATTTTGAAGAGTCCGCGCAACATAGTCATACACAATACGTATTATTTATGATATATTTCATAATAACAGAAAATTCCATGAATTAGAAAATTTTGTTGTCTCATAATGACTCCCTATAACATGCCTCATTCTGTTTGGCCTCCAACTGGCCATCAACTGATAGGTGAGGCGGGAAAAGCAAATCATATACAATACATCAAGAATTACATATGCATGAACCATGAGCAAGAAGGAAAGAAAAATGGTGGGGAAAAGAGGACCAAAAAGAAACTTGTGCTTATGGGTAAAGTCTTGCCTGGTTCTATAATCAATGCCCCGGTCCGAGTAAATCCACTTGAGTCCATAATTAGCTGTAATGCTCGCCGTATATACGAATGATATATCTCAGAAAGATTTGAATTGTCACGACTTTCCTTGAATATGTCCTCACGCAAACTGAAAGCTGATGAAGAAACGAATACTTGTAGTATTGAAATTGGAATAAGAATATCATCATAAGTTACGCTTCACTTACTCAAATCTTCAATATTGGGTTTTTGAGTTTCAATCTCCTGAGGAAGGCTAAGTTTCCAGACACCATCACACATGGCAACTGTTGGCGGATCTAAAAAATGACCTCTTCCCTTATACCTGCAAATTTAAAATATGTTCAATACTTCAGATTTTACCTAGGGAGGAAAAACTGGTAAAGAAATGGTGTTCACCCTAACTGGCAAGACATACAAAATCTTGAATAAGAACAAATCACTGAAGTTTCCTTGGACAGAATAGATAACCCAAGAGGATTGACATTCCGTCAACGTTAGGCATAAAGTGTTTCTTTCACAACTATAAACACCGGGAGAGAGTACAACTGTACAAGTTTTCTTTTTAACTTCATAAACTAATCTTACAGAAGTATCCAAATACTCACAAGAAATCAGGATGATAATCATGAGAGCTCTAGCTTTTGGCACTTTATCCTCAACGCATGACTTCAAGAGGATCATGTCGGACATGCAGACAGTACTATGAACATCTTTTTAAGTTCAAGAAATAACGAAATATCTAATCACTATTCAGTAGATTTATGCTGATTAGAATTAGAGAGCTGCATGTAACAAGATCTATTCAGCTTTAAGTGGATCTTTTGTCTCCATATCTACAATTTATACCATATAACATTTGGCTTATCAAAGAAAACTATAAGCTGCTGAAAAAACATTCACGTGAACCATATCTTCCTTCACGGCCAGGAAGTGTATCAGCCCCGGAGCATAGTATGGAATCCTTTTAGAGTCAACTCGGTAATGCCGGCCAGTCAAAAGTATGTTTCCCATTTGGGCAATTTAAAGGAAATGAGGCGAGGCAAGGCAGGGCATGGAAGTGGCTCTCTTGCGCTCATATGGGCTATACGGAAAGAAAAACAGAAGAGCTTTGTAGGGGTGGAAAAAACTTTTATACAGATGATCAATTGCTCTTTATCGAGAATCATACTTGTGTGAGACACTTAAAAACAAGATTATAGCAAGATCATCTGTTATTTTATCAAAAATAAACAGATATAAAGACAATTAAAGATAAGATATAAGTACCATCAATATATGCATGATTTGTTCCAATGAAAAAGAAGCCCAAAAGAAAAGAGCTCCCATTTTCTAGAGCCTTGATTATCATGCAGAAAGATTGTCACCCACAAAAATTATTAGGTTATCCTGTTTAGTTATGGGCCAATGATATCTAATGGCAATGAAAATTCGACCTCCTAAGCGAATAACAAAATGCTTTTACATCGATGAAAATTCGCACCCAAAAGAAATATTTAAATGCTTTCACAAAGATAAGGCCATACCATGGTTGCTGGTAAAATCCAGTATAAGGTGATGGTGCCTGTGCTTCCATAGCACCCAAAGTGTCGCCATGGTAAGATCCTCTGAGGGCTAAAACCTGGTTCATGACAGAAAGCTCCATACATAAACTAGCATTTTCCAGTGCATATGGTTGATATTACTTATTGTTGCAATCAAATTTGTGAAAAGGAGGAAACTTTCATTTATTGACAACTTAATAATCAACATTATCAAGTCAACAGGTAAACAAAGCACTACTACTTGGAGGAAATGTAGTAGACCAACCTTTAGTTCAACACGACTTTCAGCACTCTCAGCCACCAAATCATCAGAGACAATTCTGTGATCAAACAAGAACTTCCGTAGTGCCATTTTAAGAGCAATTTCAATTGCAGTAGAGCCATTATCTGAAAAGTACACTCTCGAAGCCCACCCTACCAAAACAATGTTGTTCAAAAACTAATTTTAGTAAAGTCTGGAAGTATTTTAACATAATTAAGGCATACCGCATTACTACCAAACATGAAACACACTCAAATGGCACACAACACTTGCTGCAATACCATCACATAAGATTTGGACAGTCTAACTAAAACTTTGGACCGCAAAAAATCTAAGAAATACCAATCTGGACAATCGGAAAGAAATAAAAGAAAAGGAATTCAATATCCTTCTTGTATGCAGATCATGTAGATTTAGTTTATCATGGTTAATGAACAAGCATACAGGAATTGTTGACAAAATCTATCAAAAACCATTTGCTCTATGCTTAGACTGCATTAAGATGTGTTGCATTGGTGTCAACTGTAAACTTAAGCATCTGACCCACAAAGCAGGAACATAGATTAAAAATGACAGGGAAAGCTAGGGAGGGAACAAATGTAAAAGTCAGCAAAAATTTGAAAGAGGCAGAAAAAGCACTACTCTTTTGCCAGAAAGTGTTGATTATAATTATGCAGATAACACATGCGAAGAACAACTAGTTCTACTCTTGAGCTTCAACTTTCTCTTTGAGTTTGAGGAGGAGATCCTGATTTTCTGATCCGCTAGTGTTTGGTACAAAAGCCACGTGCAGAAATTAACCTTTACATAAAGAAGAGAGCTGTCAACTGTCCTAATTAGCAGGTTTATCTGATCCAGCGATCAAGTGAATGTTTGAGTCCATAACAGCTCAACCACTTCTCTGAATTTCTTAGTAAGAAAAAAAGATATAAGCAGCAAAGTTAGATCAATGCATTCCATAAACCTGACAAGTGGTGTTTAGCAGCTTATGTTTTGATAGTTAGAATTCTTTCCAAACATGTAGGATAACGCAAATTACACATTGATAAAGATGTCAATAAATTACCACATGAAAAAATTGCTGCATAAAAAATTTTGCAACATGGCCCCTCTAAGAACTGTAATCAACGGAAACTACAAAAAACTTAAGTGAAATATAAGAGAATTTCTCTCCTCTATGCTGAAACATGGAGAATACATAGTTTCAAAGATAAGAACATTGATTAGGCCCCAGCTAGCAGATTTCCCTAAGAAATGAAAATGAACGCATGGACAGGGTTTGAAAGAAAAACCTTTTCCCACGCCTTCAAGCAAAAGTTCAGCACATTCCAAAGCCGGTTCATAAACATTTTCAGGAAACATTACATGCCCATATCTAGCAGTAGCATAACCCACATCTCTTGCAAGCTCAATCTGAAACCATCTAAAGACAAACAGTACAAAATCGAGTTACAGTATGCCCCATCTGACATTCCTAATTAGCCACATATGACCCAAAATCATCCAAAAGGACTCCTTTGCAGAAGGAATTGCTGCTATGATTAAATATGAATTCAAAAATTTCATATCAATCTGAAACACCATGATGGAAGTTTGATCTACCTAATTGTCGAATTTGTCGCATTCTCTTATTTTTAAGTTAAAAATGTTAACAATCCCACATCTACCTCACTCACAAGCAAGATAAGTATTATTAATACTATTACTGAGTGGATCTTATGAGGGAGAAGACCAGAAAGGGCTAGGATCTTCAAGCTATCTGATTTATTGTCTCCTTCAATGCCTTAGCTGATAAAGCTTGGCTTAGACCCAGTCAGTTCCTATAACGGGAAACCCCTCTTACTTGGAAAGACTCCTTACTCCACATAGATGAGAAGTGTTATATAAATGTACTATGAACTAATATTTTCCAAACAAGGTAATAACATAGTGGATTTTCTAACTAAAAGGAAAAGGTAAAAGAAAAATCAGACATTGCAGCTACATTCGTACATGTGAAAAAAAAGCACTCGCACAAAAACGAATTGGACTACTTGAGTGCATCAAGGTTTAAGGCATTCAAATTACAATTGTGTTAAATCACAAGGTGTTACATCCTACTCTCCTAGAAAATTGTTCCCATAAATTGTAGTGTCCAATCATAGACATCTTCATTCTCCTTGTTCACTATTCTAACACAAACATGCACATGCCATTGAAAAGTTCTTGGTTACAGAGATTTGCTATAAAACAATCATAAGGTAGACTAAATTGCAACTAATAATGACGAATCTACAGACTGACCTGTAAAGTAGCATCAGGTCCCTGTGTCCACCAACTTGCACAAGCATCAAATTGTTGGGTGATTAAATCAACTTTATTAACCTACAGCAAAAGCATAAAATTAATCAGCGTGTAAATGGAAGGGTAACACGCAGCATAGGAAAGGAATAGTAAATATTTTTTTCCTCTCCCGGTAGAAACAGCAGACAGATGGACACAGTTATGACATCATAGAGAAGAGTGAAGGGGAAAATTAGAACAATATTAGCAAGAACACTATCACTACTATGTATCAGCAAGAACACTATCACTAATATGTAGATAAGCATCAGTCAAAGAGCTTTAGCACACTTTTTTTAGTATCGACTGCTGAGCATGAGTTTTTAAAAGTATTATAGAGATGAACTAAATGCTAGGTGACAAGAAACAAAACCATTTTCATAAGTTGAAGCAACATTCACAACCTTGTGCACAGCAAAGTTTTCTCCACATCGTGAATCTATAACCGTCACATTTTCTTCTGGTACAAGTTTGTGCTGAGTAAAGGGCCACCAGAAAATATCATGTGCCTTCCTTGGCATGTTGCGTAATCTAGATGCTCTCTCCAGAAAAGCTGACTGCATTATTTCTTGAAGAGAATGAAAAGTAGACAGTGCTTCTTGAAACCACTCCATTAGGTTATTTGACATCTCCTTCGGTATAGGAGGAAGCACAAGCACGGGGACCCTGTCAGCCAAGGAAATAAGCTTTCTGCTCCTTTTGTTTCACAGTGAAAATACACGGAACAAGATTGGATGGTATACCCATCTATACATTAGGGTCTAAACTGAAGCATTAGAATGTAAAAGTGACAGTGCCTATATTGTGGTGTTAAACCACCTATATCTTCTACTAAAATACAAAAGACACATTTACGCCAATAGAAAACATCTTTAGATTCACCTTCTCCGCAGGTAAGATGATATAGGACCCTCATTAACTAGGCCATGGTCTTCAACTACTACAGCAACAACATCATAACCTCGAAGTTTCAAACTTTCATAGGCTGAAATAGTTCCTGAAATACCCCCTAGCCTTCCATCGCCAACAAGAATAGCTGGGAAGCGGAAAGGTCTGCAAAAGCAGAAAGTAAATTAGAAATAAAGGAAATTGGCTGTTGAGTCATAACAAGTAAAAGTGAGAATCTGCCAACAAAAAAAAAACTGTTACATTTGAAACTTAAATTGTAGTCTCTAAAGTATTTGCTTACAAGAGTAAAAGATACTAATATTGTTTTATTTAAAACACATCTAAAGTATTTGCTTACAAAAGTAAAAGAAACTTTCCCAAGCAAGTATTCAGTTATAGGTGATTAGATAACCAATAAAGGAAGATCTTCCTTGCACCATTATAAGGTTGAGAATCCACCTCTGCAATTCTTATTCATCTTAGTTTTGAATACTGAACAGTGTGAGTAGCATGTATCCTACAGCTAAGCACATTTCTACTGTTTGTCTTCAGTTTTCCGATGATCCCTTCTTGAAAGGTGAAGTAGCTTAGCAAACCTTGACTCTTTGCAAGATTCTCAACAAAAGTTCAGGTTGAAGTCGATACTACAAGTCATTCGGCAAGAACAAATAAAAGTGATTGTACATTAATCGTTCTTACTTTGCATTTCTAGTGGGTCCGTAACCATGGATTGCTACTTTAGGGGTTCAAAACAAGAGAAGATAGCTAGAAAACATTATATTATGCTAGAAGTCTTGACAGTCACATTGCCTCCTCTATAATTTTTCCTGTCAAGTAATCCCCTTTGCCAACTCAGTTCATCAAAAAGTAGTCAGATGGGTCAATACTGACATAGCGCACTTGTTGCAAAGGTTGCCTATTTTCAAAAGGCATCTCCCTAACTTGGTCACCAAGAACATTCCTTCAAGGAATAGTGCTAATCACTGTTAGGAATGTGAGCTGGGCTTTTAACCTAGATAACTGACTAGATTCTACGCTTGTGCTTTTGCTTACATATGTACAAGCAATTATAACACTATCAAGGAGGCTTGATATTTCTGTTTTTGCTTACATATGCACAAGCAACTATAACATGTCAAGTAGGCTTGATACTACGGCACTCTTAGCATCAAGCTCATAACACTTCCACCAAGTCAATCACTCTAATCATTAAGTTCATTACACTTCCACCAGGTCGAAGCTTGACCAAATGTAGATTTTTATTTTTCAAGATGAGGACTAACACGTGTAAGCTTCCTATTGGAGTCCTTTTTTACTAGTAAAAGATTCCGGATGTATCCTTCCAAATATATTCTCAACTACAAAATAATTTTTATCTACATATATTTTTCAGCAGTTAATCCTCTTGGCATATTGAAAGTTAATTTTTTTTTGAAGGAACACTCAAAGAACCACGCACCGATACAAGTCACACTGAAGCGAACCAGATGGTCCAGGACTAGCAACGCCACCAGCAGTCTCGATCACACACAAAACCTCACCCTTTTCACCACTTTCCAGTTCATCAATTCCTAAGCAACCCTTCAACATCCCCAACAACTCAGCATCTTCTACTCTAGCATTTTCTCTCTCCGCCACCAAATGTGGCGATAATGCTTCTTTCCACCCATACATCGTCTTACAAACTAGCCTCGAATACCCCTCCATCATTTCACCATTCTCACTCGTCCCTCGCAACCTACTCTCCTGGTAAAACCCCAAATTCACAACCCCATTCCCACAACTTCTCCCCGTTTCATCCCTAACAACAGCATTTGAAGCAGGAACGGATGCTCTGAGCACGTGATTCGATGTGAAGACGGAGAATTCAGGTTTATTTAAGGAGAAAAATTGGGAGTATTTGTTGTAAACGAAGCGGGAATCAGAGTCGTATGGGAAACCTGTTTGGACAGGCTTCAAGTAGAGAAATTTGCGGTTTGAGGAAGAGAGGAAAGAAGTGGAAAGGCCGGCGGAGACCAGGGTTTTGCCGAGGGAAGTGTTCGCAGCCCATATGGTGTAGATTGGGTGGGCAAGTGAGTATTCAATGGAAGGCGGTTGTGAATGTGTTGAGAGACCGCGGCGTAGGAGGTGGTGGTGGTTACGGCGGAGGAGGGCGGCGAAGAGAGTGGTAGTAGGTGACATGAGAGATAGACCCTAGAGAGAGAGAGGGGAAGTGAAAGCTAACGGCTAGAAATTAGCGACGTGGTGTTTGGAAATAATTTATTGATATAAGTTGCATTTGTCAGTAGAACATAATATTATTAGCGCCGTATAAGTCGCATTTGCTATAAGCGCCGTATAAGTCGCATTTGCTATAAGTGCATATACGATGGCGATTTGCTATAACCCATAAATCGCATTTGCAACAGGCGGCCTATACGCAGAGGCACATGTACGATTTGAACTGTGTGGGTTCCAAATTTTAAAATAAGATTATGACCTAAAACTAATATACAATAACAAACTAACTAAAGAATGAGTATCGATATTTAATATATATTCAAAAAGTAACAAAAGACAAGCACAATATATGAATATAAACATTATCATTTCAATTGTACTCGATAACTTGTCATGTTTTAAAAACGATCAATGATCGCATCATTAGATACACTTCCAAATACTCCATCCTCTATATAACAAACTAAACAATCACTCAAAAAGTCATCACCAATCATGCTTCGCAAATCAATTTTAATAAACTTCATTGAAGAAAAAGCTCTTTCGACCGTTGCAGTAGCCACACGTAATATCAAACTCAGCTTTACAAGCAAATAAACAAGTCCCTGTGTCTTGTGAATATTTGTTTTAACCAATGTCTTCGGCATATCACCAAGCCCTTTTAAGTTAGATAATGCATTGTCCATTTCTCGCACATAGCCAATATAGTTATCAAGCTCACAACTAAGATCTTCAAGCTTAGAAGCAGCAAACTCATTTGGATAATATGTAGCAAGTTTCATAATCTTGTTTTTATTATAATTTGTAAAAAAATCATCGGGACTCAAACTAGCCATACCAAGAAGCAGATCAATATTCACTTCACTAAAACGGTTGTTAAGCTCCGAAAGTTGCAAATCAATAGCAGCACAAAAAACCTCTACGTACAAATGATGGGAATATGTAACAGTTGAGCTTTTACGCTTCGACTTTCCAAGTGCATACTTCTCATCCATTTTTGGGATTACAATACCATTCTTATCACAAAACGAAGAGACGTTTTCTATTAAAGAATTCCATTTAGATTCCCTCATTATTTGCAATTGCCTCTTTGCGAAATCAACAAGTTTCATTGCACTAACAATATCTTGATCTTTTCTTTGTAAGGCCATATTCAAATCATATGTAATTGCCAATAGTTTTAGCATCAAATGTAATATACACACGAACTCATAAGATCTTATATCTTCCACTAGACTTTTTGCCAATGCTTTCTCCTGATAATTTGAACCCTCATTTGCAAGAACTCCAAGTATATGAACAATTGATGAGAATAAAGAAATAAAGTTACGCAATGTCTTAAAGTGAGATCCCTAACGGGTATCACCTGGTCTTTGAAACCCAAGTTCTTGATTTAATCCACTACATGTATGAACTTCACCAAGCACTAATAATTCATCTAATTTTTCAGCTTGATCATCTCTAAGCATCTCCGTACGCTTATAAAAACCTCCAACAACATTCAAAACATTAGCAAGAAAAAATTATTTACATCCTTGTGTTTATTTGCAACAGTTACAAGAGTCAATTGCAACTGATGAGCAAAGCAATGTATGCAATATGCCGAAGGATTATCTTTCAGAATCAAAGTTTTAAGATCATTGATTTCTCCTTGCATGTTACTAGCTCCAGCATACCCTTGTCCCCGTATTAGAGATGAACTCAATAAATGTTGTAAAATCAAGGAATATATTGCTTTTTGTAATGCATGTGTAGTTGTACCTTTAACATGAACCCTAGCTTTTTTGATTTGGGAATTGGAAGAAAATATTTGTCGTTGGAGTTTGAAGGCTTCTGTGCTTTTGTTTATTAGAAAGAAAACGTTTTTATGTTTATTTATTAAAAGAAAAAATGTTAGTTTAGTCTCTGTTTAGAGGAAAGTTCAGAGGAAAAACGTTCTTATGTTTATTAGAAGAAAACGTCGTCGTTTAGTTTGTGATTTGTTAAGAAAATGTAAAAAAGCAACGAAATAAAATATCGCTTTCAGCGGGAATCGAACCCCCATCTTTCCCAACGAACTTACAGCCCTTACCATTGAACCTAGCCCCATTTTGTTACTGGGTTCGGCAGTATATATTTATATAAATCTAGTAAATTTTTTAATACAAATACAAGGTTCTAGAAAAAGTCACTGGGTTCGCCTGAACCCGCACCCACAACTGTAGCTCTGCCCCCGCCTATAAGTCGCATTTGCTATAGGACGTATTAAACAAATAAGATGGCAGACCTATAAGTCGGATTTGCATGCAACTTTGGTATTTGTCCCTTCTCCTATTTTTTTCTGATCCCTCATAAATGTTGATTAGAGGCGGATCCAGGATTTAAACTCTATGGGTTCAACTTTTAAGATTTTTAACATTGAACCCATTATATTTTTAAAGTTATGGGTTCAAATCTATTATTTTTATAATTTTAATGAATTTTTACACATAAATTTCTACTCAGCGTCGAAAGTTATGGGTTCAATTGAACCCATAACAAACACACTGCATCCGCCTCTAATGTCGATCTTTCTCTCACTCACAACACAGATTTTTCTTCTAACTCATTTCGTCTTTCTTTCAAATGGAATACATTAATCATATATATTATGAGGTGAGTTATTTCAATATGTCATGTAATACTTTCCTGAATTTATGGATCCCAATTTGAGCTTAGAGCCTTTTTTTTTCTTTCTTTTTGTCAAGTATTCTTCTTTTTCCCTTTGGAGTTGTTATCATGCCAAATAAGGATGTTATAAGCCTAAAATTGATCTTTAGCATAAATAAAAATAGGCTCACCTAATCATATAAACAAACAAAGCACAAATCTAGAAGAACACATAACCAAACAAGGCATAAACAAACCTAAAACCTACCCCCAAACATGAATAAACTATGGCACTCACGTATATATTTGTCACCTCGCATATATTGCTACACTTGTTCTTTCACATAACGTGATATTTTAAAGATGAGAGTTTTTTCCTTCTTGATGCTCAAATCACCAAGTTAGTGTTAAAACTAAGATTCGAAGTAGAAATTGAAGATTTCATGGCTAGGGTTAAAAATGTTCAGAGAGAGAGAATTGGGGCTTTTCTTATTACTGCTAAGAATGAAATAAAAATTATTATTCGTCTACAACACATGTGGGCTTGTCTATATATATGACCCGTCTGACTCAAATTCTAAACTACAACTACAACTCTGCTGAATAAATACAAAGTGGGCTTCAAGGCCCAATACAAAGAGTGAGCAAAGAATAAAAGAATGGATTAATACTACTACTAATACTGCTACTAAAATACTACTAACCATTTGCACTAATCTCAACACCCCTACTGACAAATTGGAGGGTGAGAGAACCCCCCAACTTGCGAAGATGGACATGATGAACAACCCATGTCAAGGGCTTAGTAAACATATCAGCAAATTGATTTGCAATGGAGGTATGAAGCAATTGAATCAGGCCTTCATTGAGCTTGCTTCTGACGAAATGGCAATCAAGTTCGATATGTTTAGTGTGCTCGTGAAAAACTGGATTCTTGGCAATATGTATAGCTGCCTGATTATCACAGAAAAGATGAACTGGACTCGAAACTTGAATACCAAGATCAGAAAGAAGTCGGGACACCCATGTAATTTCAGCAATAGCTTTGCTCATCGACCTGTATTCTGCCTTTGCAGAGGATAAGAAAACTACATATTGCTTCTTTGATTTCCAGCCTACTAAACTTCCTCCCAACAAGATACAAAATCCAGACACAAACTTCCTACTATCTGGACAGGCCCTCCAATCACTGTCACAATAAACACTCGAAAAAAATCAGGAGAATCATTGAGAAATATACCAAAATCAGAGGTTTAAGGTTTCTAAGCAGATGCAGAGCTGTTTGCATGTGAGGAAGGCATGGCTGATGCATGAACTGACTTAAGTGTTGTACTGCAAAGGAGATGCCAGGCCTGGTGTGAGTGAGAAAATTCAGCTTCCCAATCATACACGTGTAACTCTCAGGGTTAGGCAACATATCACCTTCAGTGGCCTTTAGTTTCTCATGCATCTCAAGTGGGCAGACCACATATGAGCAATCAGAAGAATGGAACTCCTTGAGAAGGTCATGAATGAACTTCTTTTGATGAAGTAAAACCCAAGACTCACTATGCAGCACCTCAATCCCCAAGAAGTAATTGAGATTGCCTAAATCCTTAATTTTAAATTGATCATGGAGAAAATCTTTCACAGCAGATACTTCAGCTAAATCAGTCCCAGTGATGATTATATCATCCACATACACCACCAAAATGACAAAAAACTTTCCAGAACCCCAAGTAAAGAGAGAATAATCATTCAAGAAATGCACATAAGCCCTAGAATACAAAGCATTTGACAACTTGGCATACCACTGTCTAGAAGCTTGCCTTATCCCATATAATGATTTTTTGAGCTTGCAAACTAGATGGGCTGAAGAAGAAGAGAAAGAAATACGCAAGGCAGGTGGAAGTTTCATGAAGACCTCCTCATCCAAATCCCCATGTAGAAAAGCATTGTTGACATCTAATTGAAACAATGGCCATTTCTTTTTAACTGCTACAACAATTAAGGTTTTAATAGTATACATCTTTACAACAGGTGAAAGGTTTCATGAAAATCTATCCCTTTAACCTGAGTGTCCCCCCTAACCACAAGTCTAGCCTTGTATCTTTTTATAGTCCCATCAGCTTTGTATTTGACCTTATACGCCCCATTTACAACCAATGGGCTTCTTACCTAATGGTAGCTGAACAATGTCCCAAGTGTCATTGGGCTCTAAGGCCTCAAATTTCTTTTTCATGGCATCCTACCACTCAGGACTGGAGGCTGCTTGCGAGTAAGTGTTATGCTCAAAAACATTATTCTCATCAAAAGTAGAAACGGAAGTGGAGTTAGCAGACTTAAGTCCTTGTGAAGGAAAGTGGAAGACATAGTTTTGGAGATAGGAAGGAGAGTTATGAGGTCTGGAAGAATTTCTAACCACATGAACTGCTTCACTAGAAATAGGGGAAGAAGTGGACTCAGATGGCAATGAAGGAGAAGGAGAAGGCAGGGCAGCAGTGGGAAAATATGTGGAGAAGAATCAGTAGTGGATGGGGGCAAATCAGGAGAAGCATGGTATGATGGAGTAGGCTAAAAAAACAGACTGAGGAGAATGGTTGAAACTAGTAGAAAAAGGTATATTGCGCATGAGAGAGTGCCTTGATGTTGTTTGAATAAAAAGGATTTTATGTTTATAAAAGATAACATCTCTGGAAACAAAACAAGTTCTGTATTTCAAATCATACAATTTGTATCCTTTCTTTACAAAGGGATATCCTGAGAAGACACAGGGGGTAGCCATTGGTTGAAGTTTGTCTCTATGAGGTTTTGGGACAGTAGAGTAGCATAGACACCCAAAAGCTCTAAGATTGGAGTAAACAGGAAGTTTGTTGTAGAGGATTTCATAGGGACTTTTGTCTTTTAACAAATTGGAAGGGAACCTATTTATCAAATATGTGGCAGTGAGAATGCAATCTCCCCGGAATCTAATGGGGAGTCCAGACTGAAATAGAAGGGCACTAGCAGTTTCTAAGAGATGCATGTGCTTTCTTTCTACAACCCCATTCTGTTGTGGGGTGCGAGGACATGATGTTTGATGTATGATCCCTTTTTCAGAGAAGTATGCAGAACTAACAATGCTTGATCCTAATTCTAGAGTATTATCACTCCTTACAGTTTGAACCTTTAACTGGAAGTGTGTTTCAGTCATAGCTATGAAGGCTTTTAAGAGGTCAAATGCATTACTTTTGGCACCCATTAAGTAGGTCCAAGTGGCTCTGGAGAAATCATCTACGATGATCAACAAATACTTTGATCCATTATAAGTGGGAGAATGATAAGGACCCCAAGTATCAATATGTAGTAACTGAAAAGGCTTTGTAGTTTGTATGTTGCTATCAGGGAATGTCAGTTTGATTTGCCTTGCTAAGGGACGAACTGGGCAAGAAAATGACTGTTTGGGAGAAAGATGTAAGGCAAGTGCAGGAATATGTTTCATTATAGAAAATGAAATGTGCCCAAGTCTATAGTGCCAAACAATATCCATTTTATTAAAATTGTT